CATGCTCCTTCTCGAACCCAATTTAAAGCACTATTAGACATTTATTTATGCGAATCCTCGCGCTAGCGAGCATTCTGCCCCGCGCTGAGAACATAAAGAGCAGTGCTACACCCTTTTTTCACTTGTGCCTTTCAGGTGAACGACAGCCACTGACCGACAAGAACAAAACCGACCCAGGAAATTTGGGCAAAAGCCTCGATCCTGTGTATCAATCCGTGAATCCGTGAATGCTCGATCCTGTGTCTCAGTCCGTGGTTCCGCACTACGTGTTCCATCAAGGGCCATGTTTTAAGTGGCGCAAAATGGTGTGCGGATGCGACCAATGATGCAATATTATGTCCGTAAAGAAGAGGGAAGCCGGATGCTTGGAGATTCGTGCATGGACTAACTCGATTCCTTGGAGAAATGTCGAAAATATTGGCGAAATTTTCAGCAGATGAAACTGATGAAGAACGTTCGTTGGTTCCACGGTGGTGTAATCCTAGATCTGGTTTGGGTCTCCTACTGCGCTTCCTGATCTGTGATATTCGCTGTCTCATTGGTTTCGTTCGCTGTTGATTTGTGTTTTACTGGCTCCCCCGCTGTGCACAGTTTGTTTGAAAGAATCAGTATTCCCGCGGTATCACTTTGAATGCCGCGAAGGTCGCGCAATCAGCTGTGAAATTGTCAATGGCGCAGCAGTCAGCCCCCGCTGGTTGCTGTAATCTGAACGAAGATATCGTTAGGCAATTGTATTATGTGGCTTATCTCAGAGGATCTAAACTCCCCAAGTCCCTGGTCACTCAATCTGGCCATATCAAATCAGGAATCAGTGTAAATGGATGTACCGTTGCAGGTAAGTTTAGCGTCGAGTGATTTACCCTTACTGTGTTTGACACGACTGGCATTGACTAGGTGGATGAGAGCGCTGTCGTAGCTATCTTTTGAGTACTGGAATTTGTAATATCAGGCTCCAAACAAGTCGTAACCGCCTGTGTCAACATATTCACCGAACTTGAAATTTGGCCACCTTTCAAATCCACTTGAGGGAATTCGAGGAACGCACCCAGGCAGTCTGTAGGTGCTGAGTCGAGAGACCGGGATGTTTTCTCGTTTTTAAAAAATTAGTCCAGAGGATTAAATATCAGTGGAAACTGGAAATGGCGGATGAAATAATCGGGATAAGAATCGAACTGCACTTCGACTGCTGGTACGGGTGTATGTGGTTTATTTAGGTACAAAGTATCACGGTTGTTCTATTATATACCCTGTTGCATTTTAACTTCTAGTAATACTGACTCCGTGTAATTACCCATCATAGCAGTAGGGCGTCAGCTTATTTAGGGTTCTATTCATTACCCCAACTTAATGTAACGTGTGAAAGACCTTCGGGCTTGTTTACATCGAAAGAAACAGCAAAGAGCCGGACATCAAGAATATTTTATTCAACAATGAACTTATAGGAATGAAAGCGTCCATTTTTGAAGTGTACGTAGAGATGGTGTGTAGACGGTGTCATATGGAAGTGCGTTCAAGTCTCACACTGCGAGGAATTTTGAATGTACTTGGTTGCTAATTCAAAGTGGTTATCTCGGAGATTGTTTTTCTGGGAGCACAATTAGCGGGCGGCTATGAGTCCTCAGAATCTGAAAATTAGCAAGAGATCTCCCCACAACCGAAAGTGACTAAATAATTATACACTTGCTATTGGGTATATATACATACCTTTTAAACTTGAAGAAACACTAATCCGCCAAGTGTTCTAAAGGCCTTTCCGGGTGACTGGTATAGGAATGAGCGAAAGCTGCGGCCACGACACCATTTGATGAACGTACGACACATTCTCGTGTTGCGATTGATCTCGTTCCTTCTTCGATCTGTAAGTTCATCGCAGAGCACGTAGGGATGAAGCTTTACTATGGTAGAGTAGTAGATTTTTCATTAACAGCCTATGTAACTATTCCAGATAAGTATGCAGTTTGCCATCCCCGGTTACCGGAACTGATCGTCTAGCTTTGCCATTTTGAGGGAATATTAGAACTCTGAGTTGTTTTTTCCTGTGCAGGTCGTCAATGATTAGTAGAAAAAAGCGAACCTTATGGGAATAGTTTGTCTAATAATCTCCTAAGCCTTCTTGGACGAAGGAATATTTCCAGAAAGCGTTGGCTTACCGCTTCTACTATTCCTCGTGTAGCAAGGATACTGAGTGGTCTTGTACACTTAAATCGAATGCGGTATCATCTATAGCCTGGTGAGCACTGATAGATGCTGGTGGATTCAAGAGTACGATGCTGTCCGTCGTCAGTGGTGGAACGCCCTATTTCACGCTGACTTTAGCGCCAACCTGTTTCCAGTGATTTGGGGTTTCCGTAAACTTGAGTGTCGATGGGTGTTTGGAGCCTTCGTTATGTAGAGCCTTTTGTACGATCAAATTTGCAGTGATTTTCTAAACACGTGATACTGTACCCCAGCGACTAAATTACATTAATGCCCTCAACCAAAGAATTTTCGTTCGTGAGTACAAGGCCTAAAATACTAGATCAGTAAGCTAAACGCTCCCACAAAGTGACGGAAACTGAATTTGGGTGATTGTTTATGTGCATCCTTGACACATTGGGCTATACTGGGTCGGAATTGTGCGACATGAAGTCCGTAATACCAGGTTATTCAATAGTTAGAGGTTTGACCAAACAGGCTCTTGGCCCTCCAGCTTGGGGTTAGAACATATGTTGTGACTTGTTTTGTAAAAGCGGTAATGCACGTGCATTCCCCACCAAACACTGTTGCCTTGCGGTCAGGCTTTTGAGCCAAAAGCTTTGATCGAATACCTTAATCACCCTACTGAAATCGTTCACATGTAGCACTTTTTCGGTGCTTAGCTGCTGTGCCAGCGGAAGAAGGCACGAGGGCTGGGATACTGCGAGGTTGCCCAAGCGTAGACGGGAGAAGTCGAGATTTTGAGGTTGCGTTTGGACGTAGACATTTCCGTCCGTAAACTGGCACTTCAACCGCTGAACTTTCTCGAGCTCGACCGCCCCCTGTGTAGTTCTGGGCATCCTGGCAGTATCTCAGCCCACGTAAAACCACAATACTTACACTTGACAATACTCTCATGTCACGTCGGCCGTTGGGCTGTCGTCAGCCTTACTCGCTGCACGCAACAGAACAAGTAACCAAAAGCATATTACTGCTAATGACTTCCTTTTACAGTTTTACCTGTTCGCTCTTATTCTTCTGCTACCCGGGGGCGAGATGGCCCAAGTGGTAAGAGCACGAATTTACTGACCGAAAGGTCCGTGGTTCGAATCCAACTTCCGCCTCTCGACTTCCCCTGTCTAGGCTTGGGCAACCTGGCAGTATACCAACCCTCGTGCTTCCTTCGGGTGGCATGGCAGCTAGGCACCGAAAGGGTGCTACAGCTGAACGATTTATTCTTTCATGGATTTCTGCTACCCTATGCAACCCCAATTTGAATACTCTCCGCGGATCCTAGAACTCGGAGTAACCGTTCTGCTCGCCGTGAATCACACTCAGTTGCAGCTTTTGCGTGTCCGACTTTAATAACAAACCTAAACTCATCGAAACCAGAAATCCGGTCTACTTAGCTGTCTTTAATGTTCGCCACTGAAGCGAGAAGGACAACGAGTAGCTCTTGGTCGTACGCTTGAATCCCTCTGAATGGGTTTATGTTGTCTGTCAGAAACAAGGATACAGGGCACAAGTAGTGGTTGAACAGACTGCCCCGTCACTATTTTCCAGGTTCCCGCTGCGCAGTTCTGGGGATGCGATGGCCCCTGCAGCCTGATGTGTTGGGGTGGGTACTGTATTCAGCGATGGAGCGGAAGCATCTCTACATGATTGAATACCTATCAATAGTCGCCTGTACGTGTTTCGTTTGGCGATGTCTTTGAAATCTTAAGAAAGTGAGGTCCGTCGCACCCTATTTATTCTGTCTTCTTACGCCCCTATATGTGGTAGCTTTGAATTTGCCCGAGATAGTTTCTATGGCACCCTGTGTGCTCTTTTGCAATGGGCTAGAAGCTCAGCTTTCGTTTTGGATGCTGGTGACATGAACACCCAGGCAAGTAGACCAAACTCAACTGGATAGTTGGATACAAGACGCACGGACAACGGAAAGCCGCTTCAGCAGCTTTTTTTGCAGTACTGACTTCCGGAACCGCGGAAGTCGCTTGGCAACGCAGTGCCCACCAATGAACCAGTCCGTAATCTAAGAAGACCACATCGCTCTCAGTTACCGGTGACGAGGGTCAGTCACTGCGTACCACTTATCCTGAAATACCAGCATGGACTCCGACCATGTGCTTGTCCGCTGCTACTCATTGTGATTTCCAGGTCTATGAAAGACGCGAACCTCGAATAACCGCTGAGAAGCTAGTTGACCTAGAAATCAAACGAAACTATCAGAACCGGCTCCTTGAATGCCTGCCGGACGGTCCGATGTCGAATATTAATGACCGCGGTACACACCCAAAGTTCTACTCAGTACCGGAGTTTCTGTCTTTGGTACAACCCAGCCCGCTCCATGCAAACACTGGGCCTCTTATAGGACCGTGGCTTTGCTAGAAACTTGTCGTCAGACCTAGTTGACCAATCAAACGAAACTATCAGAACCGGCTCCTTGAATGCCTGCCGGACGGTCCGATGTCGAATATTAATGACCGCGGTACACACCCAAAGTTCTACTCAGTACCGGAGTTTCTGTCTTTGGTACAACCCAGCCCGCTCCATGCAAACACTGGGCCTCTTATAGGACCGTGGCTTTGCTAGAAACTTGTCGTCAGACTCCTGACCACAACCATAACTCAACCTGACGCATCATCCGACGCCAGATGAAACTGAGTGCCCGTGCAGACCGAGAAGCTTGGTGGACCCTAAAGGTCGAACGAATTGAAGAGGCGAACAATGCTGGAAACGTTCACAAGCTTTTCCACTCGATTCTTTCCTCGGAAGCATCTTGTCTGCGAAATTATCAGGGATCAGAATGGTTTCCTGTATCCAGCAAAGGAGAACGTTGGGACAACTGGGCGCAGTACTTCGAACAGCAATTCATTTGGCCACTTGCTTCCTGCAATTCGGACTGTCAACCTTCAATAGGAAGGTAGGCTGTGAATATGGATCTCTTCAGCTTCAAAAGTGTCTGAATGTGAATTTTTTGCCAAGTATCCTCGTTCCGCCTGTCCTGACGACCTTCCTCTCCCGTTCAGGCAACCAGTTCCTCATTCAGTGCCTCTCTAGCCTGTTTGAGATTATCTTGGAAAAAGGAACCTTCCCAGATAACAGGAGTGAATCGATAATAGGGCCCATCGTCATAAAATGTAAATGTAATATTCACAGAGGTTGTAACGAGGCTTCTGGCCTCACTGATTGTTCGTCGTCCAAAACTGGAAG